TTTAGAAATGGGGGTGGGGTTAAAATTCCCACCAGGACCCTAAAGTCTTCACCCTTTGAAGATTATACAGTTGAAAAGTCTATAGAACATACATCTAACTCACCAAAGGAAAAATTCAAAAGAACCCTAGAACATTCCTCTATTTCCACATGAACAATAGGAGGCCTACCTATGCAGTGGTCAGTGCAAGCAGATTTGCTGACTGGACAGTTACTATCACCTTAACAGGAACCATAGGAGGTGGCACCTCTCTGTAACCCCAAATGCTAGCCCTTGGGTGGCTAAGACAAGAGGATCAGGAGTTTGAGGCCAGCCTGAGCTGCACAATGAGACTATTTCAAAAAATGGATAGAGCAGCTATCTCTCAGGGCCACCTGTGGTCGTGGAGAGAGCTCTACAAGAGAAGTTACAGTCCTGTTTTTATATTCAAATCTCCAATAACCTATTGGTTATCAAAATGTGCAGCTACTTTATCCCTTTCAAACACTGATTCCTTCCCGTGTACAAGTCTGTTCACTCACTCCTGTATGTTTCTGAAACCCAAATCACTCCAGGTCCAGTTGCTGTTCAGAACCAGCAGCTGCTCACATTGTCCCGGCTGCCATGTGCTGCTCAGGTCATTTAACCTCCACCTGTAGAGCCCACCTCTAACACCTGCTTGGCTCCAGAAAACAGTCACGCAGAAGCTAGTTTGTTCCACTTCAGCTTGGTTCCTTTCAAATTTGCTGCTTCTGCAATCTTTCAAAATCTAATAAGCTTCAACCCCCAAATTCCTCCAGTAAAGCCCCTACAAATTACAAAAATGAAAGCCCCTTATTATAAGTTACACATCACTACCAACAGGGTAATAATAAGAATGGGTGCTGGGACAACTCTACTGTGGTATGTAGGGTGAGTACAGTAGATAGACACTTAAAAACAATATGGAGCCAAGCATGGTAGCACACACCTTTAATCCCAGCACCTGGGAGGGAAAGGCAGGTGGATCTCTGTGGGTTCTAGGCCAGCCCAGTCTACATAGTGATTTCAGGCTAGCCAGGACTATGTAGAAAGACCCTCTCTCAAACAAACCAACAATATGGGGTCAAAAGTAAAAAGGGAAAGGAAATATAATTTGTATAAACAGACTATATTTTGTAGCCTTGCTTTTAATTTCATGTAAAGATGAATTTTTGTTAAAAACTAATAAATTTCAGAAACTCAACATTAATGAGCTGGTCTTAAATCTTCAATTTTCCGAGATGAATTCCAAAGAAAAAGCTTAAATGGAAGAGGGACCCACACAGGAGCTCAGATATCACATGCAGGCAAGGACTGGCCCATGCCACCCCTGGGACTTACAGGTGAGCAGAGTCCCTGACCAGCTCTTAAGAGGTCAGGACCACTCTCCTGGACTCCGGCAGCCCACATCCACCTCTATTCCAGGGATACATGCTACATACCAGTGTACACTGGCCTGGCCCTGGTACCTACTCTGCATCTCGATGAACTGCAAATCTGAGCCATTCTGCAGTCCTGCCAGGTCCCCAGATGTGCCATCACTCCTGGAACACTTCTGCCGTTCCTCTTCTAACTGCAGCTTCAGCTTTCTAATCTGGAATGGAAGGAAAAGTCACCAGTGAGATCAGTGTCTGTCTGTTTCTTTATCTCTTTCTTTGGGGATACTGGGGTGAAGCCCAGGGACTCAGGCATGCTAAGCAAACACTACGACAGCTGTAGCCATATCCCTCTTTTTTTACTTTGAAATAGGTTCTCACTAAGTTGCCCAGACTGGCCTTGCACTCACTCTTCAGCTCAGGGAGACCTTGGACTTGGGATTCTCCTTCCTCAGCCTCCCAAGTAGTTGTGATTGCAGACCTGTGTCACCAGGCCTGGATGGAAGGTAAGTGTCTTGAGTTTGTATGTGCCGATGCATATATGGAGGCCAGGGGTCTACATCAGATGCCTTCTTCAGTTGGTCTTCATGTTGTTTTTGTGACAAGGATCTCACCAAGCCTGAAGCTAATCAATTTGGCCTGGCTGGCTGGCTGGCTGGCAAACTCCAGTGAACCTCCTGCATCCACCTCTCCAGTGCTGGTATTACAGATACATGCTGCAGTGCCTACTGCTGGGAATTCAAATTCAGGGCATGTTTGCACAGCACTGCTGCAGTGACTTTACCAGCTTCCAGCCCCGTTCCCTTAAAGGAGGTAACTGGTCCAGTGGCCATCGCATACAACAAAGCAGATCCTTATTATTTTTAGCAAGCCATACAAATCACTCAAACAGTTTTTCCTACGACAAGAATGGCTCTAGGCATTTGATATAAACTGATATAAACAGAAAGGAATGGGCCTCAGAAACCAGGTGTCTCAATAAAGACCTCTACTCTTTATTACTTACTTGTGTGTGTTTACACAACAGTACACTTTTGAATATTTTTTCTTAGTCTTATTAAAATGAATCCTTTCATGGGTAGATAGGACTTTTTGTCTAGTTTTTTTAGAGATAAACTGAATACTTAGAGAACTTTAAATACTCAAATTAATTGGAAGCACAAATGTCTGGCTTTTCCAGTTTCTTTAACTCTGCTGCCAGAGATTAAAAGGAAGCTGAGAACGAGCTTTGCCACTGTCCAATGGGAAGGGCAAGTGCTGATTTCACACTCAGTGAATGCATACTTCCCAGGCACCTCTGCCCTTTGCACACATATGGGTTTGCCTTGAGAATTGGGTTGTTATCCCATCATTCCTACCACACCCCAAAGGGGCACCCCTCTTCCTCAGCACTCTTACCCAAAGGCCATGTGCCATACCTAACCTTACCCCGCTGCACACACAAACTTCTCCAACGCCTCTCGAAGCATCAGCCTGCCACCAGCTGATGCTCCTGCCACTGCCTCATCTCAGAGTACACTTTTCACCTTAGTACTCTCACGGAGCCCTGCAGTTCTTATAGCCCCACTAAGCACTACAGCTTTTGTCTTCACAGGCTCCTACCTCAGCCTGGAGATGGAACGGTGCTCTCGGGCTCTCCTTGCTGTTGCTGAACTACCTACCCTACAGCCATGCTCCCGAGAAGTCCCTGTTCTTACTCTTACTGTTAGATTCCTATCGATCTGCCTTATGTCTTCACTGGTGTGCTGGGCCTCTGCCCTGTTAGCTCCTGACTTGCACTCCCAAAACTGCCCTCTATCTTGGCCATTTCATACACACCTGGAGTAGTGACATGCTCCTATAATGCACCCCGATTCTGGAACACCCCCCCTTCAAGGATCCTGCTATCTACCTCTTTTTGCCCTTGACCTTCATGTAACACATAATAACAGACTTCAACATTGGATAGCCATACTCCCGAGGTTATTTAGTTCCACATACTCTAACCACGACTGCTGAAACCCACCCCCTCACCCCCCGCCGCCCCGTTTATTCTCTCTATACCCTAACCCAAACATCCTCCAGCCACACTCACTTCCAGTCATTGATCTATCTTCTTTCTACTCCAGCTGATCTCTACTTCGAGGTCCTCTCCGCACTCTCATTCAGCCTGACTTCTTCTAGGTCCGACCTGACCACCACAGTCTTACTGCCCACCACATCCCTTGTCCTAGCTATGTCTAACTGCTGACTACATGCCTGCCACACGGCTGAATGTTACTAGAGAGACACATGATAAATGTGTTCACAGAAACTTCACATACAACACAGCTTAATTCTATTGCCTGACCTCTCTACTAAGGCCTACCAGGGCACGGATTTTTCAAATAAACCCACAACAATCTGATTATTCATCCAAATTTCCTATGTACCATGAATAATGTATTAAACAGTAGAGTATCACTTGCCATTTGCTTACTGACTGAATAGGAGTGAGGAAAGAGTAACTAAAATCACTCAAGTTTTTCCAAACTAAAGACTAGAATCAACAGGGGCTGCTACCATGCTTGAAAACTTCTGAATACATCACTGTGAGATTTCAAGATACTAGAAAGAAAGAGAATAGGACAGAAGCTTACAGAGGAAAAGAAAAACATCACCTATGAGAGATCAAATCTGAAAATGTCCTCAAAATTGTTTATTATTATTATTATTATTATTATTATTATTATTATTATTATTATTATTATTTATTGAGTGTTCATGCACATACATAAAACACATTCTTCTGGAGGTCAGAGGACAACCTGGAGGAGTCAGTTCTCATGTGCTACCTTCATGTGGGTTTTAGGAATTGAACTTCGGTTGTCTGGCCTGCACAGCACGCACTTTGCTCACTGAGCCATCTCACAGGCCTGTCCTCACAATTCTGAACAACTATCTTCAAGGACAGGACAATAAAGGAAGAGATTTTTAAAAACCTGAAGGAAAATGACACTTTCAGGCCTTCAAAGTCATGGGAAATTACCAGCCCACATGCTCTTTCCTCAGGAAGCTACTGGAATATACAAAATAAGAGTGAATGAAAGAGGAAAGAAGAAAAGCCAAGAAAAGGGAAGCCAACCCAAAGCACTGGCAGAGAAAGTCCCCACAGGCTTGCAGGACAGTCCCAGCAGCACAGAGTGAACAAGCTGCTAGTTCAGACTGGGCTGTCAGAGATGAAGATGAAGCCAGGGAACCTGCTACGGATCAGAAAACTGAGTGGGCTTAAAACGGGGGCTAACTGTATGATAAACACAAGAAAAGCCACCCAGAACAGAGATGGCTCCCTATGGAGCCAACGTTCAGAGTCCTGCAGATGGAAACAGACTGGCTGTTGAGAGGCTACAGGAACAGGAAGTATGCACATGTGTGGCAGAGGTCTTCCACAGAGGACTGTCAACAGATGGTCCCTTTAAGGAGTAGCACCATGAAGTCAGTGACTCTCACGAAGGGACAACAGAGAGGACAGAGTTGGTCAGGGTGGGGGTAGAAGGGATGAGCAACCAGCTTTGTATGCATCCCAGACATTTTTAAAGACAATACCAATTAGCTTTTCTTCCTTTAAATGTTACTTGAGTACTAAAGTTAAGAAATAATCTTTTTTTTTCAATTTTATTTTATTATGTATCTCTGGCTGTCCTGGAACTCACTATGCAGACCAGGCTAGCTTCAAACTCAAAGATCCACCTGCCTCTGCCTCCTAAGTGCTGGGATTAAAGGCGTGCGCTACAACACCCAGCAATATTTCTAATTTCTAGTGAACAGTTAATTTATTAGCATCTTACTGCCTATCTTAGATGAACTAATGGTTTCAGATGAGCAGACATCTCACCTGTGACAGGAGCTCCTCCTTTTCTCCAGCAAGTTTCCGTAGCCTCACATCTGGAACAAGTGGGAAGCTGTAAACTGGGCTTGGAAAGGTTTTCACAAATAGCCAGCATCTACTAAATTACATTGTTTACATTCTGAACATGAAAAGAAGCAAAGGCCTTAACTCCAATCAAAAGAATACTTTATTCTCCCAAACACACTCCTAGCTGGTGACAGTTATGACATCAAATATCTGCTCCCAGAGCAGTAACTTTCTGCCTAGACACAAACTGGAGTCCAGAGGAAACCATTTTGTTGTTGTTGTTGCAAAAAACGTGCAAGCTTTTCCCAGTTGTCTTCAGGGGCTCCCAGCCTTGGTGGGGAGCAGGACGTGGAACAGGAGCGGGCGCGGGAGTGCGGGTCAGGGCCCTGCATAATGCTGGCACGAGTGAGCCTGCCATGGCTGACGGGACAGGCGAGTGAGGAGCCCTAAGACTGGTGTGGGACTGAGAGCCTCGTGGATCAGAAACCTGCAGTGGCTTCAACTACTGTTTAAACCTGTGGCTCATCCAGCAGTGAACACAAGAAAACCAGGCTAGGGGACCTGGGTTCCAGCCTGGGGCAGATGCACAGGGCTGCTGCTTCCAGGCGGGAAGAGGCCCCCTGGGCTGAGGAGACAGCACTAGTTCAGCTAGAGCAGCAGCTCACAGTTGGCCAATGGCCCGTAATGAATGAGGGTCGGACATGTCAGTCCCACTTCCCTTAGCACCCACAGGGGGGGAGCCCAGAGCTGCCCATTGCTGTCTTCAGCTCTGTACACTATCGGGCTGCAACGGCTATGGATGGGAACGAACAAAATGGTAAACTTACATGAGTTTTGTTTTGTTTTTGTATGGTTTTTGAGTGTGGCCTTTGTGAATGACAATGTCATCTCAAATGCCAAAGGTGAGCATGCCTGCAGGGTTTCCCTTCTAGCTCACTTGCATCCTCTATCAACCATTAATTCTGTTTTTGAATTCTACACGAGACAACATGCCTACTAACCTGAAGACAGCTTAGCCTGTGCTGCTCTTGTAGTGCCTCACACTCCCTTAAGAAAACTACACACGCCAGGCGGTGGTGGCGGCGCACGCCTTTAATCCCAGCACTGGGGAGGCAGAGCCAGGCGGATCTCTGTGAGTTCGAGACCAGCCTGGGCTACAGAGCAAGATCCAGGACAGGCACCAAAACTACACAGAGAAACCCTGTCTCAAAAAAACAAACAAACAAACAAACAAAAAAAGGGAAAACTACACATACAAACACACACACACACACACACGGTAAAAGAAAAAAATTTAAATTAAAAAATGTTTTAAAATGTGAGCTGATGGCACGGTATCTATCTGTGTTATTTCTCTTCCCCCTGATTTGTTGTGGGGGCAATGGCTGGGGCCCTTTGTGACTTTCTGGAGAGGTGTTGTTAGATTCTCTAAGGGTCAATTTTAACAGGCCTGGACCCTGCCCTGGAAGTCACACTTCAGTATGTGCCTTTTCCATCATCCATTTCTGGCTTTAAGCAAAGTGGTGGCAAAGAGCTGTAGAGCCCTGGGGTAAGCTTAGACTCTAAATCCAGGTGGGCGAGGAAGAAGCTAACCCCATGCTAGCAAGTCCCCGCAGCCCTGAGCTCCCCTGGATGGGCAGCTGGACTCTGCCCAGAGTTTGCTGTAGGTGAAAGGCGATGTGTATACACCTGCAATGTGCTAACCCATCAGTGCTAACCCACACGATGACTCCATCTCTGCTTTCCCAAGATCAAGAATGTCAGAGACAATGTGTCCAGATTCTTGTCTAAATAGCCATATACTGCCCCCGACCCCTACCCTGGGCTTGAAGTCCAACATCAATCCAAAACGGAATACCAAGCAGTGTCTTACCTAGTGGCCCTTCTCCTGCTGACTCCAAGACCTGAGCAGCTTCCTGAGACACAGCAGTAATGGCTCCAACCACAACAGGTTCATCATGATTGACATCACCATTGGGAGTGCTGTCTGGGATTATAACTAAGCCATGTTTCTGTGGGGAAGAAAAAACCTACCATTACAAGCAGTAATCCACACAGAAACTGTAAGCTCTGTTGAGGCATCTCTGCAACAATGTTTGTTTGCCATGGGTAAAAACTAGTTAGATTAGTTATGTGATATACCTTTGTGGAAGAACTAGCTCAATCCACCATCGTATCAAGGCTGTTGATATGGGCAGCAAAGAACTAAGGCAAGAGCAGGGGAAGAAGGCCCAGGCCGACGTACCTCTGCCGTCCTCACTGTCTCCTGCAGGTCAGCCAGCTCCTCTCTGAGCACATCTCGCTCATTCCTGAGGCAGGTAATGTGTTCCTTCTGTTTCTCTAGGGCCTGGGTTTAGGCAGGGTAGCAAGGGAAAGAACAGCACAGAAAAAGAGCAAGAGAAAGGTGACTAATCCAGTAAGCAGGTGAGGCCTACAAGCAGAAGGTTAGAAGTGGAGACAGCGGCCAGGCAGGGAGGGAGCAGCCTGTGTGCACAGCAGCAGAATGGCTTCAACAGAGAAGAGCCCTCATGCAGGAACTCGGAAGACATGCTCATCACATGAAGATCATCTTTACACACAAAAATTTCCTGCATAATTGCCTCAGTACATTTTCATTTGGTGAACAACAACAACAACCCAACACGTTTTATTTCATCTTTAACAGAAGTAGTTTAGTTAAGAATATGCTTGATTGTTAAAAATGAAGATGGTTTGGGAAAATGAGCAAGTCTGGATCAGTTATTTAAATACTGGCTGGCTGCTTGCTCTCCAGTGTTAGCAAGATACTCAGTTACCACCTGGCCCAAGACAGCTCAGCTCCAAAGGAATTCTCTACAACCTACTTATGTTAATTGGTTTTCTGATAAAAATTCGTTTATGCTGATGAAGTGAGTGGGTCCGGAGTTTCAAATCTATCAGAATCCACCCATCTGGCAAACAGGAGGCCTAGCAGTGGCACCCTCGGGAGGCCCACTGGCTTGGAGTACTGCTCGCTCTGGCAGGCGGCACGGAGGGTTGGGAGGGCAGGTGGGCTTCCTCGGGAGCCTCCCTGCTTCCTGCAGAGCTTTCCGGACAGCAGCACAGGCAGAAGAGGGAAGCCACTCTGGTCATCAATGGTGAATGTGAAACCACGTTCACACACGAAGAAGAAAGCAGGCGCCTGGTCACCTGGCGGCAGGGCTGTCTCTACCAGGACCCTTCCGCTATTTATTTCTCCTGATTTAATGTTTTCTCCAGCATTAACCCAATAAGGTAAGCTGTAACTTTGATCACCAGGTCAAGAAGTAGGTCAACTGCTTAGTTACTAATGGCTAGGAAGTGTTTAGTGGTTGTCCTTGTTGCTGAATCTCTAGAGGGTCTCATATTGCCTAGGCTGGCCTTCAACTTGCTATGTAGTCAAGGTTGACCTTGAACTCCTGGTCCTACAGTGGGATTAACAGGCACATGTCTGCATGCCTGGCACTGATTGAGTAATTTTTATAAAAACCACTATAATCCTATTCTGTGACCAAACTGGAAACAAGTAAGCGTGACAGCACCCCACTGTGCTGCACCGCTGTGACAGCAGACACTGTGATCCGGTGGGGAAGCCCTGCCCTGTGCCTTCTGGAGGGCACTTATCATCTCCCTGTCCAAAGTTACAGCGGCTCCAAGGGAGAAATGAGTCCAGTTCATTTGGTCCTAACACCTTGCATACGGTCTGCCTTCTGCTCCTTCACGGTCACCCCACAGAATGCCGGGGACATACCCTTTAGGCAGGCCCTCTCCTCATTTTTCACACTGTAATGTCAATCCCTAACTTCCTTTCTATTGTAGTGGAAACTCGCACATCTAATGGATCTCCAATTACCTAACCACCTTACCAGCAAATGAACATTGGAACAAGCACAGGAGCATTTCTTCTCTGCAGGCAGTCACCCAAACCACATGGGTGATGTTAGATGTGTGTTATGGACGTGGCAGTCACCTGCACCACAGGTTAGATGTGTGTCACAAAAGCATGCCATGCAGTTGTGTTACAATCACAACATGAAGCTGAGGAGGCGGTCACTTTCATGATATGCTGTGTCAATAATCCCACTGACTACAAAAGACCTCTCAGGAATAGACCAATCTCAAGTTAAGAATTCTAGCAAACACTAGTATGAGGCTTTTGTGCCTCCTTACACAATTATGGTACTGGGTTCTTGTTTTATTTCTAGATTTTAAAATTTCATCTCCCCATAATTACAGTTAAGAAAATAAAATATAGCCTGTGTATTTGTTCATTTCACCACAAAGCTTGGGAGCTACTGAAACACCTTTCTAGTTGGGTCAAACGTGTGCTCTAGATCTGCAGTCCTGGGGCCGCCTGACCACACAGCCACCGCCCTGTGCTGCAGGCAGCAGTGACCTGGGCAACACATTTCTAAAGATAAAAAGGACATCCCTGCAGAGATCTAAATAATCCAATTAAAGAGTAAAAAGGACATCCCTGCAGAGATCTAAATAATCCAATTAAAGATAAAAAGGACATCCCTGCAGAGATCTAAATAATCCAATTTTAGCATCAAAAAGCCAAACAGAGATGTGGAAGAGGCTAAAATGCTAGGCACCAGGTTCAATAACTGCAGTTATTGAGAATGAGAATTAACGGATGCCGGACTGGCCCAGAGCCCAGGCCTTTATGTGCATTACTCTATTCAACATTGAGTACCTAGAGAGAGCTGCAAGAAGCTAGTGATAAAGAACTGATGTCACCCAGGAAAAGTGAGAGAAAACTCAGTTTCCACCTGGGACCTGTTTCTTGATTAAGTTATTAGATTTTATTCTTGAAAATGAACCTGGAGATGAGTGATGCATTAGGTACTGAAAGCAAGTCCTTTGGAAGTAAAAGAGAAGCTGGGTATGGTGGATTCAGCCTGGTATACACAGACTCTGTCTCCAAAAAAAAAAAAACAAAAAACAAAAAAACGTGTCTAGAGATGGAGCTCAGTAGTAGAGCATTTGCCTTTCAGGTGTGAGTTCCTGGGTTCTCTTCCTTAGACTGGAAAAGGCAAAAACAGATGACATAACAACACCAGACAGAGAAGTAAAGTGTTGGTGAAGAAGTGGAGGAATTCTATCCTTTGCTCATCGCTGAGAGGAATGTGCTACGGAATACAGAATGGCATTTAAAGTTCCTAAATGACTTAGCAATTCTACTTAGCAATTTACACCCCAAATAACTTAAAACAGAGCAGGAATAAGATACTTGGACAACATATGCACAGCAGCATATTCACAACAGCCAGGGGCGGACGCTGCTACCCAGGCATCAGTTAAGACATAAATGTGGCTGGGCGGTGGTGGCGAAGGCCTTTAATGCCAGCACTTGGAAGGCAGAGCCAGGCCTCTGTGAGTTCGAGGCCAGCCTGGTCTACAGAGCAAGATCCAGGACTGGCACCAAAATAACACAGAGAAACCCTGTCTCGAAAAATTAAAAAAAAACAGAGAGAGAGAGAGAGAGATAAATGTGACACATTTGTCCATTCAGTTTCAAAAAGTAAGGATATTTGCTGAGTGTAAGTAAAGAATGCCTGGAACCCCAGAACTTAGGAGGAAATGGAAGGGTCAGCCTGAACTGCACATAGTAAGATCTCTCTCTCTCTCTCTCT